GGAAGCAACCCAAGTGTTCATGGACAGATGAATGGATAAAGAAGACGTGACATATATTTTCCATTATAATGGAAAAGAGAATGAAATCTTGCCATTTGGGAAAATACGGATAAATCTAGATGGTATTCTGTTAAGTGAAATAAATCAGAGAAAGACAAATACCATATGATTTTACTTCTGGGATCTAAGAAACAAAACAAATGAACAGACAAATAAAGAGATTCTTAAATACAGTGGTTGCCAGAAGAGAGACTGGTGGAGGGATGGGTGGAAAGGGTGCAAGGGATCGGTGGTACAAAGTTCCAGTTATAAAATAAATAAGTCATAGAGATTAAAAGTACACTATAGGAAACATGGTCAATAATATTGCGGTAACTTTGTATGGTGACAGATGGTGACTCTTGTGACTTAATCGTAGTGAGCACTGATTAACGTATAGAATTGTGAAATCAGAACACCTGAACATAACATTGTATGTTAACTATACTTCAATAGTAAACTGAAAAAATCCCCAACTTGTTCAGTAGTTAATTATCGATGGATATAGAGTGACTCATTAGTTCTTTTTATCACATTTTGAAAATTGACATATCATTACATAAAATAACATGCACACATCTTAAGTGTTGTTCAATGAATTTTCGCAGTTGTTTTCACTCACATAATCACCACCTAAGCCAAGATAAAGAAGACTTCTATCATTCCACAAAGTCCCCTCGTGCTCCTTTCCAGTCAATTTTCTTATGCTAACTCCACAGTCACTTCTTAAATTCAATAATCAAAGATTACTTTTGCCCTTTCAAAATTTGTATATAAATGGAATTATGCAAGATGTATGATTTTATGTGTTTTCTTTCTCTCAGCATACTGTTAGTGAGATTCATTCAGTTCATCGGTTTATATCAAGAGTTCATTCCTTCTTTTTTGAAAAAACTTTTAATTGAAGTATAATTAACATACAGAGAATAGCACATTCCTCCTTATTGGCAAGTGGTATTCTATTGTATGGATATATCACAACTTGTTTACCCATTCTTCTCCCAGTATTCTTATTTAAAAATAAATTTAGTTATTTCATCATATGCAGTAAAAACATCAAAATTACATGGACAAAACTACATGTAGAAAGATATGACATCATTTTAAGTAACATCATATAAAGTGGTTGGATGCATTAGGAAATGACATAGTTATCTTTATAAACTCTATAGAATGAAAAAGTTATAAGCTCTCTGTTGACCATAAAGAGTGTACTTCCCATACGACACTTAACCGGAAAATACAAACTGCCATGAAAAAATTACAAATGGGTCAATTCTTTTGAAAAAAAAATTTTTTGAACCAAAAGCCACATTGAAAATTAATGACATAGGAAAAAAGAAAATAGAAAAAAATGAGAATTTTAAAAATTTCTTGTACACCTACAGACACACGTGCATACACGCATGTATCAGCAATACCTGTAAACTCATTTTATGTATGAGCCGGGGGTGCTGCATATCATAAACGAGCTTTCAATTGTTCTCTGTAGAGTATTTGATGCTTCTTTAAATCAAATCTAATTGAGCTCTTTGATATATTTAATTACTTATTAAAGGCACTTGACATAGACCTCAGAACTGTAATAATTTTTCTATGAAATCTTTTTTGTTCTTGGTAAGTCTATGATCGTGTGTTCAGAAATACATTGGTTTAAGGATTATTTCTAGTAGGTTTTCCTAAGGACATTTTGTTAATGACACTGGTTATAAAAAGAGTTGTCATCCTCCCAGTTCTGAACTTCTGAAATGTAAATACTGTGGAATAGGGACACAGCAAAGATAGATACTAAGCTTAATTTTGTTATTTTCCACAGAGGATCCAAATAATCTCAACTCGTATATTAACTACTCTCCTTCAATTTCTAATTTTCAATCTCTGTTAGTTTTGAGTTATGAGAGCAGCCAGGAGAGTGTCTGAAAACACTTTGTTTCTATTTTGCCTTTCTTCCTGGTAGTATAAATATCTGAAGAGATTATTGCTTAACCTATAAAACAGAGACATTATAATTTATGAAGACTAAAAAAACCCTATTCATTTCTGTTAAACTATTGATGAGCTGGAAATGGTGATTCTTCTCAGTGGAAAGGACATGTTAAATAAAGGAAAAGCTTTCCTCGTGGTATCCTTAACGACCCTCCCATTCCATTTTAGCCGTGATTATTCTTTGTCACTAAACTTTTGACAACTTTTCTCACTCTCTTCTTTGCTTCTACTTTCCCATATTAGTTAAGAGAAAAGACCGTTCTCATCACCATCATCTCATGGTTATAGACCAGGCCCACAAACACAGATTCAACCAAGAAGTTGGGAATTCAAGCATGTGTATGGCTCCCTGTGTTACTGCTTCCTTTGCCAGAAGCTGAAAATTGAAGTTGGTGGTTTTAATCAGACTGGAAGGGTTGTAGTTCACCTGGGTTGTTGTTCACTGCTACTGGTTTCATCTGTATGGTCAGCAAATAGAGCCTGTGTCTAGTTCCAAATGAGTAATAGAAACAATGCTCTTCATTGACTATTGTATATATTATGGTGCTAAATCAACATATTTTTATAAAGTACTCAGTCTTAGTTGAGTTCAAGGTTGAAATTATTTAAAGTCACAAATGATTTACGCAGTCCCCTTGTTTGCCTATAGGAAGTAAAATTAATAAAATAGGTAACCCACAAGAGTTCACATTGGCTTCCCCTCGCCCCCATCTTAACTAACTAGGTAAGCGGCTTAATAATCTGGTTACTTAACAATTCTGATACTCAGCTGTTCCATCTTTAAAAGTGGAAACTATAAGGTGGTTGTAAGGACTAACAGTCACGTGTGTAAAGCACCTTGCATGTACTTGGTATAGAGTAGATGCTCAGTAATTGGTCTCTATATTATTTATAAGCACAAATAATTAATTGTGTGATCAATCAACTTCCTAAAGATGTTTACTGTGTTTGCATAGAAAAACCATGGACAGTTTTTTCATTTGGGTGGTTCTCAGTCAGGCCCAAGTCAGGCAGGTACTTTGGTGCAACACCAGCTTTTATTTTTGTCTGTTCTCACTAAAAATCCTAGTGGCATTGTGGCCCCAAGACTGACTATGACCTTACCTCAGCCCCTGAGCTCCTCTTGTGGGAGAGCCCTGCTTCTGCTGCTTCTAGGGGGGGAACACTGGCCTGTGTGGTTTGAATTCTGCTTTTTGACCTACTGCATTTATTCTGAGGACCAGATTTTTCTCAGTGACCCAGAAGGAAGGTGTAAAAAAATACCGAATAAAGTTCATAAAGTAAAGTAAGAACATACATTTGAAGGCACCTTTGTTGGGACGCGGCAGTTTACAGGGAGGGTTGATGACAATTAGTTTATAATTCTAAGAAAACAAAGCAGGGAATTGGGCTTTCTTTAAAATAGCTGATAGTGAGCAATCTAGGAGTAGGCTTTATCTATCCTAGCATTGGGGCAACATCCTTTATTTTTTAATACATCTTTCTGAATGTGACCGTGACCACACCTAAGTAGATATAAATACTCCAAAAAGATGGGGTCATTTCTTAGTGGTTTCACTGAAATTTTCTCTAAGTGCTACTGAGTACAGATATGTGGGAATAAGAATAATCGGTTTTATTGATTTGTTCTCCGACTTTGGGCTGGGCCTGAAGCTATCTTGAACATCCTTCTGTTGTAGCACATTGTAGGTGCTTTAAAAATCTCTCAAGTGGGGACTGCATTAAATTGTCCGTTACGAGGAGTATAACAAGCCCCCTAGGCACCGATATGGAGATTACTGAAGACTGGTTGGGAAGTCCATATAAACCACCGAGAGAACTTTTAAGAACAAATACACGCTTTGGGAGAGTTTATTAGCCTGACATCTCCATAAACAGTGCTTTCAAGAGCACATACCTCAATGGGAAAAGGGCCTTTCTGGTTCAGCCGGGTCACACAGAATTTATAAAGAAAGAGAAGAGCCCATTCCTTTGTCGGAAAATAAGAACAATTTAACTTCTGGAAATCACAGCTTGGGGACCCGCGATGCCTATTTTGGATTAAACGGTCTATTAATTAAACTCAAAGGATTAAACATTCATCACCTTGCATTGCACCTCTCAGAAAACAAAAACAAAACTACACACACACACACACACACACACACACACACACACACACACACACACACAGAGACACACATACACAATCCGGGTTTGGGGGCAGCCTGGGTGGCTCAGGCGTTTTTAGCGCCACCTTCGGCCCAGGGCGTGATCCTGGAGTCCCGGGATCGAGTCCCGCGTCGGGCTCCCTGCATGGAGCCTGCTTCTGCCATCGCCTGTGTGTCTCTGCCTCCCTCTCTTTCCTCTCTCTCTGTCTCTCATAAATAAATAAATAAATAAAATCTTTTATTTATGTATGCATGAGAGACACACACAGAGAGAGAGAAGCAGAGACACAGGCGGAGGGAGAAGCAGGCTCCATGCAGGGAGCCCGACGCGGGACTCGATCCCGGGACTCCAGGATCACGCCCTGGGCCGAAGGCAGGCGCCAAACCGCTGAGCCACCCCCCGGGGATCCCCAATAAGTAAAATTTAAAAAAAAACAAAACAAAACCAAAAAACCACCTCCTGGGTTTGGAGTGAGGAAAACCGACACCCACGGACACGCCCGCGCAGCCCGCGTGGGGTGCTCGAGGCGCACAGGGCTGGGCCCAGGGCCCCGCGCCCCCTCCCGCGGCCCGGCGGGCGCTGCGTCCCGGCGGTTGGCAGTTGGCGGCCCCCCTGGCCTCCCCCTCGCCTCCCCGCGCCGGCTCCCTGGGGCCTCCGGAGGCCCGGCGGCCGCTCCAAATGTTTTCCATATTTGTTCAGCCTCCGTAACCCGAACCCCGGGGCCGGCCCAGCGCGCCCAGCGCCGCGCTCCGCGCTCCGCGCTCGGGCCCCGCGCCGCCCCCGCGCCGTCCCCGCGCCCGCGCCGCCAGCAGCCCCCGCAGGCCATGGGCGAGGACGGGCAGCCCCGCGGGCCGCGCAGGCAGGGGGGGGCCGCCGCCGCCGCCGCCGCCGCCGCCGCGCCCGACGACCCGGGGCCGAAGACCGGCGCGGGGGCCCCCAAGGAGCGCGGGGAGGAGGCGGCCCGGACGTGCTGCGGCTGCCGCTTCCCGCTGCTGCTCGCGCTGCTGCAGCTGGCGCTGGGCATCGCCGTGACCGTGGTGGGCTTTCTCATGGCGAGCGTCAGCCCCTCCCTGCTAGTCAGGGACACTCCATTTTGGGCTGGGATCATCGTAAGCATCGAGTGCGGTGGGCCGGAGCGCGTTCGCCCGCCGGGGCGCGCAGCAGCTTGGTGGAGCCCGGACTAACCCGACTGCATGCGCCCTTCCCCCGCCGCACCCTAACTGGCGCTGCGCTCGGTGGGCCCGGGGGCGGGGGAGGTCGGGCGGGGGGCCCTGCGGCTCCTCGCGGAGCCCGGAGCTCGGGGGCTCGGGGGGGCTCGGGGGGCTCGGGGGGGCTCGGGCTGCTCACATGGAACCTTCCGGATAACAGCAGCAGACTCACTTTGGCTCTGTCCTCACCCCGGTCCCCGGACCCCACCCTGGTCTCTACATAACTAACAGAAAGTGCAGTGAGGTCGTGCAGGAGGAGCCGGTCAGGAGAAAGCCTGCCCTTGCGGTTTGCCACGCAGGGTGGCATTCAGCTGATTTATTTTTTTTTATTCTATTTTATTTTATTTTTTTTAACCTTTGAGATTTCATGAGTAAGTTTTATAGAATAATGTTTGAAGGCAGGAAACGGGAATGCAGCAAGCTCGGCCTTCATATGCTGGAGTCTAATGGGAAAAACCCAGGGGCTGGCCCTGGCAGGAGTGTATTTGGGACTCTGCTAACGGATGTACTGTTCTAAGCAGAACACTGGTCAGCTGTTGGGAGTGAGTGTGCAAGCACGCAGCATACTTGGCGTCATTAAATGGACTCTTTGCTGTGAAATGGGTGCCATTCATGGAGCACCGAGTGTTTCTTGTCCTGCTAGAGGCCTTACATTTATTATTTCTAAGCCCCACATCATCCCTATGGGACAGTTACTATCATTTCATTTCGCAGATGAGAAAACTGAGGGCGAGCTCCCCCAGGGTCGTGAGTTGGCAAAGTGGGGAGGTCAGCCAAGTCCATTCCTTTCTGCACCAGTCTGCGTCTGCCTTCTCCTCACCGAGCCACACTGCCACCACATTTAATTCGTAATTTTAATGTTCTGTTTTAGTGCCTTGAGGCTTACTCAAAGTTCCCTCATGGGCATTCAGTTTGCAATTTTTTTACTTGATTTGATTTGTGAAACGACACTTGGAGGTGGGAACTGTCACCCCCACTTTGGACAGGGGGAAGCAGGCTAAGAGAAGTTAAATGACATTCTCAAGGCCCAGAGATTAAAAGTGGTGGAGCCAAGTGACACTAGAGTGGATGCTTCTGGCTCCTGGTTTCATACTGCGTCATGCCTGCTATTACTGACCGCAGGAACTGTAACTCATAAAACTACCCACAAAATAATTTTTTATCAGGGACAGATGTTAAAAGCACCTGATAAATATGCATCGATGTAGGTATTTTCTAATTAAGATTATTTGAACTCACAAATTCTTGCGGAGTAATTTAAAACTTTTAATTTGTGTACTAAGAAGTCCCATAAAATTATCATGATTGGAGTTTTCTAAATCAAGTAATTTTAAAAATAGCTTTTCACTAAGGTATACCAGGTATTTTAGTCACCTAAATGACTGTCAAGATACTCAGAGGGGAGAAAAGTCTGTCCTTTTAAGACCCGGTGAATGAAAAGAAAGAAGGAATGAAACTCCTTTGAATATCACTTGCAAGTGTGTCTTCTATCCTTTCTTTATTTCAACTTTAAAAAGTCCAGTACCAAAAAAGCAAGTTAGATGGGAAAAAATGCATCTTAATGTTTCAGGCACAAACATATGAATCATTCAGCTCTGAAATTTCATGAGCTCCTATTGGGAGCATCACATGCTCCTAATTGCCTTGGAAGCTCCCCGAGTGTGATACAAAGAACATTGTGGACAGCCAGGTTTCTGTTCTTTCTAGTTTTCCAGTTTATAAATGAGGAGCCATTGGAAGTTTGCTTGTACTGTATCGTAGCCCTGATGGTACCTGTGATTCTAAGTTTTCTTTCAACAGAGAATTTGTGGAGAGAAAAGCAGTTAGTGGAGACAGGTGAGGAGGGTCTCTAGGAGCCAGTTGACAAAACCTCTCCTCCCAGCTGGGCCAGAGTTGCAGGCTCCAACAGACACCGTGCTTGTCGTCCTCATCTGGCTGTCTGTGGTCGGTCACAGGCACTCTTCCAAACTTTCAGTGAAGGGAAGGGACAGGGAGGCCGGATGAGAAAGGACAGAAGCATAAACATCACGCCAGGTACTGAGTCATACAGGTTGGGCATTATTTGCTGAATAACTTGGGGCAAGTTACTTAACCTCTCTAGGCTTCCATTTCCTCATTGATGAAATCAGAACCGTAATAATTCCGACCTCTTGGGGCTGTTGTGAGAATTAAATAAATTAATATGTGTTCTAATACGTAGAGCAGTGCTGGCTAATGGTAAGCGCTTAGCGGACTAGCTTTTTTTTTATTAATTAGCAGAGATGCAGTCACTGGGAGTGACCATCATTCTTCAAATTCGAGGCTGCTCTATTTTATCTCTAGTCTTGTGGAATAGTTATTTCAGACTTGCTGCATTCCCTAGACCAGTTGGACTCTGAAGGTGATGTCAATTTGACAGTCTCAACTTTCTCTGTTCGTAGCCAAATTACTATTAGCAATCTTATGGTATTAGATTAGTCCAGTACTTTCTGTATCTCTCTGGAGACTTACAACATATAACTTGGAGGAAAGTGACCTCCTCAGTGCCATTTCCCCCAGGGATATGGAGTGATTGTGGTGGGGGGATATCCTCCGAGGAATACTGAAACGTTTGCCCTGTTGAGGAGATCTGCTTAGACCAAAACAGTACAGGTCAGTCCCAGGGGCTGAGGCAAAGTCAAAACCCACTTCGGTAACTTAGGCTGAATTCAAGCAGGGGTCCCCAGACTGTGCACTCACCCCATCAACAACAGCTCTAATGCTTCCCTCTTCTCTTTCTCTATATATTGGTTGTCTCTTACCATAGAGCACTTATTTCATTTTACAAAGGTTCCTATCCCATTACGTTGGCATTTCGGGAGCACCATTCTCCTCACAGAATCTGGGGAGGTAGGTAAATCCACCTAGGTGGCTTCTCATTGACCAATGTCTGGGTGACCTGATGAGTATTCAGTGAGCTTCTATCTAGCTATAAACTGAAGAAGTCCTTAATGATCTGTGATCAGAGATTTATGTCCTATGGAATTTTAGGAAAACAAGTATGTCTTGCGTATGCATAAAGGTGATTTCCTTCATCCTCCGTCAGAGAGATGACTGAAGTCTTTTTATTTCAGTTACAAAAGTTTCCTTTAAAGGAAAAAAATATGGAATGGAACCACTATAGAGACTAGGTAACGTGTAAAAGTGCCATTCTCCTCCTAAAATTCTTTATAAATGGTTTGAGGGTTGTTAGTTGTAAGTCACAGCACAATGACAATACAAAGTGAGACAGGGTCTTTGAGGATGAACTTGGTTAGGGGTAGGGGATCCTAGGAGATGAAAGTCTGCTTTGTATTTCATTCTATTAATGGTTTGAGTAGTTGGGTCAAACAGGCATTTAGGTTTGTTCATCATTCCAGAATTTTTATTGATAAAAAATGTGTATGGACCGAAGGAGTCCAAGAATTCTTGCTCAAATGCATACAGTTTTGGCTTAGGTGATATGTAACATGTTTGAACTTTGGCTTATTTTTCTTCATGCAGTAACATTTGTTGGAGGTATCTGCTGTGCTAGGCATTGGTCTTAAAAATAGTGAACCATATACCAGGAGATCTCTAGAGATCCTGACGGGCATGTGCCCTTATCACATCTGACAGTAATGAATACTTCCGATTAAAAAATTTAACCTACACAAATATTTTTAAAGCCCATTTACCTTTTGAAGTATTTCATTTACAGTGATTTATTTGCTTTGGCATCTCTACTCTGAAGTCAATTTAAGAGCAAACTCTTGCCTCTCATCCCCAGTGGGGATGTGTAGTATTCGGAAGTCTCTTGGCTCTTGTAGGGAACATTCCCATGGAAAGAAGGAATTTGCCTTATTGTGGTTTTCAGGTTTCCTCATAGTTTCTCCATTGCTCCCATATCCCACTCAGCTAGATTAAAAACCCTGAGATATGTATACCACATTAATCACATTAGAAAGTTTAAGGAAAGGGCTTAAAAGGAAGGGAAGAGTATTTCCTTTCCTTAATGTCATTCATAAAACTCATCATATGAATCTGTAATGATTAAGAGCCCTGTCAAGAATTTCAATAACAGTTTTCATATGTTAACTTACTCTAAGGAATTCAAAATGCAGGTGTATTCAGACTTTAAAATCTATTTTTAACCTTGGCTTAATGGAAGGGAAGATTGGGTGGTTATTTATTTTAAAACAGAATATACTCTGAAACACACAAGGAGATATATGACATATAGCAAGTAAGGAGCAGATATTATCATCCATAATTTATAAGTAGAAAGACTAAGTGAGACATGATGATTTGGCTACATGATTTGATCATGGTTATAGGAGAAACTGGAAGTGAGGAAGATTTGGCTCTCGGATTTTGGATAGACGCTAAAAAAGTCAAGAGGCTAAAAGGGGTGTCAGTTTTCCATATAGGTAGATTGACATTTGAGAAGGCTAATCTGGAATTATGTTGTTAGGAACACATTACATAGTAATACATTATTTTTAATACCAGGACTTTGATATGCTTCCAAGATCGAATATTGTATTTCTGGTGCCACTGGGAAATAATTTTAATTATAGCAACTGTCACAGGTTTGTTAGAGACTGAGGAGTGATAATTATATGGCCTAACTCAGTCTCCACTGAGTGTATATATGATAAATAATGGTAGGAAAAATATCTTACAGGTTCATGAAGTTCTCCTAGTAAGTATAAAAATGGAATATGACAATTAATTTGGCAAAATAAATTAATTTTAACAAGTGTATGAAAATAAAAGGGAATATTTGAGAGTTTGGTGACCTGTTTCCTGAAAGAATCTTAGAATAAAGAAAAAGGAAGGTTAGGACTGGACAGGATCATTAGGAGAAATGTATTTTCACCTCTATCACTAGCCTCATACTAAGCCACACATACTGAGGCCAA